TGTTTAATCAAACAGAGAAAATATTATAAAATTAATTGTATTGTCAGTATCATAAACTAATTTACAAAATCACGGCATTTACATGGATAACATTTAACAAATCGTAGATCGGTAAATGTTTTCCGGTTTATTACTTCCCAGGACCGTAGCAACGGGGGGGAGGGGGAGGGGGCAGCCCTCGATATATCTTTAAAATACTGACAATTGATTAATTTTAAGCGGCTACATTACCCATGACAAACCGCAAAGAATCATATTACCCATATACGCTTCGCCCATTTAGTTCTTCTAAATTGTAAGCAAATTAATTGTAAATTTCGACGTGCTAAAACTCTGTTTTTCTGACCATCAGAATTCTCTCAAAACTTCCCCCAAAGTCCACGAAATGGCATTTCTGAGACTCTAAATTTAAAAATTTCCTTGCGCCTTCGGCCCTCGCAACCCCCTTATCAAAAAGAACTTCCTACGGAACTGCACGCTTCTGTAATATGTCTGTGCGTAAAATAGGAGTATTTTTGTTTGTAAATTGTGTTTTCATTTTCCGGATAGCAAACACCTTCGTGGCTTCGTATGCCATGAAATCTTCGGAAATTTCTTTCGTCATTCGGAAATTTTTGGCCTACATCCCCCCAACTATGCATGCTTACCTACGGCCCTGATGAGTGGTGCTCCCTTAGCATGAACAAATTGTGAAAAAACCTCGAGGTTGATCCATAGCAGATCTAAGGAGATGAGTGAATGCTTAAAACGGTCATAAATGTCATCTATACTATTTATAAAATTGAAATATTGTGGCTTTTATATTGAGTATGCATGTGTTAATACAATGCACAAAGATGACACAGCCAAGCATTTTGTCCGTGAGATTCATCTCGTTAGTACATGAAAAAAAATTAAACACCCATGAAGAACAATAGAGACAAATTATATGTTAGTATACCGACTAAAAATAAGACTAAGCTCGGACTCACTCCTTCCAAAATTATTTACGAGATCACACCACATGTCGGGGTAGGCCAGCATCCGCTGCAGGATCATGAGGGGTTCCATTCCAGTTGCATTTGTTCGTAGACAGCATGTAACTTATAACGATCAGCAATTTCTAATCCATGTAGAAGGTGAAGCATGTCACATGCTTCAGAAACCTGTTCGATTTATGCAGCGCCGTAGGAAGCTCTTTTTGATTGGGGGGGGGATAAATGCGCCGCATGCGCGTCACTTATAGGGGAAATTTTTAAATTTACATTCTCTGAAATGCCATTTCCTGGACTTTGGGGAAGATTTGACAAAATTCTGATGGTCAGAAAACAACATTTTAGCATGTCGAAATTTACATTATAATGTAGTAGCACTAAATTAATACAATAAATCTTAGTTTATATTTTGTATTAGCTTAAACATAACATTTCAACTCTAACTGTTTTTATTAAGTTAACTATCTCTGATCAAACGAATTCCTATTCCAAGTCTCCAACATTTAACAGAGTTATTCAAAAATTATCTAATCTTTAAAAAAACGCAAGATTCCTATTATCAATTGCAGCAATAAAGTCATTTGCAATCGTTCTTAAATCAAACTCGTCTATTATATCTTGATGCACGTGTATCATAGATAGATAGATAGATACTTTATTGCGTGTTCCCCTAAGGGCTTTTCAATTACTATAAATTACTTCTAAAACTACCTATGTTACATATACTTATTTAAAATTAGTTAATATATGTACAAAGAGTATGAAATATTTAATGTATTTAATAGGATTCTTTTAGTAAAATCTCTCTAAGTTTTTTCTTAAAAATTGTTATTGATGTAATATTTTTTAGTTTATCATCCAAGTCATTCCATATTTTAACACCCCGGTAATCAAATGTTCTTTGAACTGCAGCAGATTTATACAGAGGGATGTCCAGGTAAATTTTGTGATTTTTCGAAAATTTGTGTTATGTTCCGAGGCGGTGGAGGTCGCCAAAATAATTTTCCGGAAAAAATTTTTTGGTACTAGTCGGGCAGAATCCCGAAAAGTCGCGCAATTTTCTTTCCGCCCCCCTAATTTTTTCCTTCCGGTACGCCCATGTCGATCGATCATGTATATCGGAACGCTTTATAAATTTATCTACTAGGTAGTCAGGTGCAAGTCCATTAAAACACTTGTAAGCCATTACAGTATCCCTTTCCAATAATAACTTTTCCACTGGCAACCAATTTAGTTCGCGCAACGCCGGAGTTATGTGATCGAACTTTCCTACCTCTGATATAACTCTGCACGCGAAGTTCTGCACTGATTGAAGTTTATTGATATTGTTAGATGACGTGTTGGACCACACCGTAGAGCAGTACAGAAGCTTGTTAATTACAAGTGTCTCAATGACCAATTTTAATGTTTCATTATCGAAACTATACTTCACGCGATTTATTTGACATAGTTTTCTCATACACGACGAAACGAGTTTAGATATGTGGTCGTCGTAGGATAGGTACGAATCCAAATTGATTCCCAAATCTTTAGCTAATAAAACAGGTCTTATAGCCTTTCCTAAAAATGTTAGCGATATTTCTGTAGGTACGTTCTGCAGCATGGGTCTTGAACCGACTACAAGGAATTTAGTTTTTCCTGGATTGATCAATAATTGGTGCTCCAAACACCACTTGGCTGCTATTTGTAGATCTGCCTCTAAATTGATAGTTGTCTGTTCCAAGTCGTAGATGCAGAATGATTTGTAAAGCTTTGAGTCGTCTACGTATGAATCAAGGTTACACGATTGTATGCTCCCTGGCAGATCATTAATATAGATGCAAAACAGAAGTGGTGATAGTATTGCACCTTGTGGAACGCCATGGGTTATCGGGCGAGCTGATGACTTGGTGGATCCATTGCGCACGTATTGGGATCTGCCTGTTAAATAGTCTTGGAACCATTTAAGCCTGGTTCTCATTCATCGTAAACCGTCGGCGACGGGAGCTTTGCGACGTCGGCGACCGCTTGTGATTTATGAGAACGCATCAAAAATGATGTCGGCGAGCGTCGCCGACCATCGGCGAGCGTCGCCGACCATCGGAGTTGCCATCGCAAGAAACAAAAAAGTTTGTTTCTTGCGACCATCGCCGATGGTCGGCGACTGGCACATGCTTGAAAAATCTATGAGAACGTGCATCGCCGACGTCGGCGATTGCTTGCATGTGCTATTATTCGAACCCAGACTCCGTAATGGCCCGTAATCTCAGCACATTCCAACATGGCTGCCATTGACAATGGAGAAGAATCACTCGAATCAGTGCAAAATTGGCATATTCTTGCTGCTAAAGCAAAAGAAGATGATAGCAGTTTTATGGAAATCATTCGTGATTTTCCTACAATATACGATAAGCGAAAAAACGACTTCCGTGACAAACGAAAGAAAGCAAATTGTTGGCAACAAATAGCCAAATTGCTCGAAACTACAACGGAAGAAGTAGAAAGAAGATACAAGAACATCCGTACTGCATTTTCGCGTTATCTAGCAAAGCAGAAGTTGAAGTCTGGATCAGGATTAAGCGATATTCCGAATATTAATCCAAGGTTTGAGAATCTTGGATGGCTTTTAATCCATATGAGTTCAAGAGCTGGGACCAGCAACTTGGGACTATCAGTAAGTGAAGCCAGTGAACCAATTAGGCTCAGTGATAAAGAGCCTGATCTTGTTGAAGAGTCGATTGAAAGAGATAATGTCATACAAGAGGAAAGTAGCACGAATTTAGATGACTTCGTGGACGATGAACTATTCCAAGGCCAAGGAAGTGAATTAAGTCATGGTGGAGCAGAGGAAGTATGTGCCACTGACAATGGAGTTTCCCAAACAAGTGCAATAAAGAGGCAAAAGAAAGATTATGGCAGTGGCATGACCTGGGTCGGAGCCAAAATCAGCAACAAAGTGCAACTGAAACAAACTGACGAGCAAATTAAACAAACCATGGCAAAGCTAGACAAGTCCTTAACGTATTTGGAAAATTCCCAAAAGGAAAACTCTATTCCAACCAAGAAGATGGACGAAGAGTCTTTGTACTGTTTGAGTTTAGCCCCCAGAATGAGGAGGCTTGATGCACGAAAGAAAGCATTAATCAGAAGTTCTATTGAGAAGGCATTTTTTGAAGTTGAATATGGAAATGTTTCCATGCCCACAGCAAAATTGTTCTCAAATTCTTTCTCAACTCCAGTTGGTGCTGTTCCAAACAGGCAAGCATATTATGAGAGCAGTGAAAATTCTCCTCTCACATATGAACCATTAATATGACAGTTTATCGTTTGTTTGTTTTTTTTTGTTTTAATCAATGGGTCGTTCCAGAAAAGATCCATACCCCCCCACGGAGGAAATTTTTGCTGTCCGAAGGGGGAGGGAGGAAAAATGTCTTAGGATGTCCGAAGGGGGGGAGAGGAAAAATGTCTTAGGATGTCCGAAGGGGGGGAGAGGAATGTGGATATGTTTGTCTGAAGGTTTGAGACTGTGATAAAGCCATGTGATCGGCGATTATAATGAGCACGCAATTTTTATCAGCTATATATATGCAGCTCTTGAGTTGAACACCGGAACGTAATTTATGTAACAGCAATAATTATACGTCCACATAACTTGTAAGCAAAATAAGCGGCCCACTTTTGCATGCATGGCCACCAAAAACTAACTCGCTGTAACAGCGCATCTTGCATGTTGAGAATGAGTCGAAAATTGACACGCTTTATTTATATAGTTTGCAGTTTTCGTTCGTATATATATAAGTTTGAATTATTCAAGTGTTAAAAATAATAGTTATTAAACTGTTGCTCGAGTTAAGAGACTGCTATGTGAACTGAACTCAAAACAGTTTGTTTTAGTATATAGTCAATAAAGCTTCCTTGCGAGGTGCGTATCTAGAAAATAGAAATGGCTTTCATATTAAGGGCGAGGTTAAGGAATGCAGTAATACTACAAAATGTATTAACATGTAAGTAAACATAGCAACGCTTGTCAATCAGTCGCAAGTTACATCGAATTTCAGTCCGAATTTTACTTGAACGAATTTCGAAGTGAATTTCTGCAAATTATCCGACAAAACCTGCCACGTGTTTGTGTTTGCAAGTCACAAGAAGCCGCCAAGTGTTCCGCCACGCCAGAGCTATTTGAGAACAGCGTAGAAAAGTCACAATAAGCCATCGCTAATTCACTCCACGCTGGAGCAAATCGTTTGAAAACTTTCACGTCACTTTTGCCGTAACAATTTGAGCACGGTTTCTAAACGGAGCGAGGTGAAAACGGCGGAGCGCTTGATAGCTTCGTGTGAACACAAACGTGTAAACTTGAATGCTTTTCAGTTAAATTTCTTGGGTCTATTTGAAATATTTTGGGTTTACACGAGTGCTAATTCAATTTGTAAACAAACTGTAATGGCGGTAGTATGAACACACGTAAATTCTGCCCGCATTAGTTCGCTCGCGCGTAGTGTGAACGTAGTCTAATTTTCGGTGACGTTTTCAAACGGCGAGGTAGCCTTTAGAAAAATTTAGAAATAGTGGATGTCCGAAGGGGAGGGGGTAATTTTGGGCTTGGATGTCCGGAGAGGGGGGGAGGATGAACCATTCAAGGATGTCCGAAGGGGGGGAGGGGGTTATTTTCGATTTCCTCCGTAGGGGGGGTATGGATCTTTTCTGGAATGACCCAATTTACATTAACAGTTTTACATTAACAGTTTTAAATGTTAGCATTGAATGCTATTGTTCCTTAAAGTTTTAAAGCTTTAGCATTTTTATGGTGGCCACCAAATCGACTCTGTGCATTGACTTTTTGCAACTTTTCATTTACTAGAATTTCAGGGCATAAGAAAATACTGAATGATATATGAGCATTTCAATGTCGTCTTTTGTAGTATGCTATTTCAATTATTCAAGTCAATCTAAAATAAGTTGCTGCACAGAATACTTTGTTGATCACTCGTTCACTCTTCATTGTTTGGCAAATAGAGTAACGAATATACTCATATATTCTTTACATTGTTTGAAGTTACAGTTCATGCTATATATGTTACAGTAGGTATATACTTTTTACTATATCACAAAAACACAATTAAAATGTTTTTTAAAAAATTGTGTATTTGTCTGGTATGCATTGTCCCCGAGCCGGCGGCGCGAAGCGCCGTGCGAGGGTACTAATTCCCCCCGGCTATTTACACCCGGGGAAACGAAAGCATTAGGGAAGTCTGAAGTTCATCAAATATCGCGGGCGTGGGTCACTGTGCGTGTTTCGGTGGGTGGTCATCCTCACTGATCTCAAAAATATGGCGGACTGTCATGAATAGCAAACACTGATTGGTCAAATTTAAAATTTGTTGTTGTACGACGAATGACGACTTCAACTGACAGATACTTCATGAAAATATTTTGCTTTTTGCACTGCAATATTTTGTACGTTTGCAAAAAACTTTGACAGCTTTCAAAGCAATTTGTTCTATAAAAAGTTTAATAAAACAATTACGGTATCAAATACCAATTGAAAAGATATGGACAACTGTATGGAGCCAAATGAAGAGCGGCAAGGAAACGACAAGAAAGCCGAACGTCTAGCGAAAAGGAGGGAGCGAAGACGACAACGTTTGCTCGAGGAGACTGCTGAGGAAAGAGAAGCTCGCCTGGGAAAGCGTAGAGAAGCATGGAAAAAAAAGACTGCTGAAGCGAAAGGTAAGCAAAGGCTTGTCTTCACAACGCTATGTACCAATGATACTGTAGCTATATATACAAGTTGAAGTATGATATTCGACCCTCTATATTCGACTATTTCTTCACAATTTTCCAATAAAGAGTTTGTCATGACACGCTCAAGTCAGTATAACCAGACTGTATTTTATTTATATCAGTTATCACAGCCACAGGATATTTTATGCTGTCAAATACCGTCGGTTG